TTGTCGGGGAGGAGACAGGTTCGGATCACCGATATATTCGGTTTGACGTCTCCGCCCCTGCAGATGGCGCGCCGGTCAGACCGGCACCACCTGAACCACGTTGGGCGCTCATGCGCTTAGATCGCGACCTCCTCCTGGAAGCCGCCATCGTACAGGCCTGGGCTCCTGCGCTGGACAGGCCTGTCGACGTCGATGCTGAAGCACAGTGGTTCCGGGAGGCCATGACCCGCGTCTGCGATGCGGCGATGCCTATGGGCTCAGCCCAATACTGCGAGGCGCCAGGTCTACTGGTGGTCGCCGGAGATCGCACGGCTGCGTCAAGCCTGCGTGACCGCGCGCCGCCAGTGGTCCAGGTTCCGCAGGAGGCGTCGCCGCCCCGAAGATGCGGCAGCGAGAGAGGCGGAGCTGTTAGCGGGTTACAGGGTTGCCAAGAGGACCCTTCAGGCAGCGATAAAGCGGGCCAAGAGCGAGGCCCGCCGCGAGATGCTGGAGACACTGGAGCGGGATCCGTGGGGACGCCCCTACCGTATGGTTAGGGGCAAGATGCGCCCATGGGCCCCGCCGCTCACACGGTGTCTTCAGCCAGAGCTGCTTGAGAGGGTCGTTGGCTCCCTGTTCCCAACGCGAGTGGTGGAGCATACTCCGCCACAGATGGCTCCGCCTCCGGTGCTTGAGGCGCCTAACGTGGATGACGACGTAGTGCCTGAGGTCACTGGGGTGGAACTAAGGGTGGCGGTGTTACGGCTTAAAGCCAAAAACACCGCCCCGGGACCCGATGGCATTCCCTGGCCGAGCGTGGGTCCTGGCCTTAGTAGACGAGGCTCTCGAGCCCCGACTGCGAGGGTTCTTCAGCGCATGCCTCGAGCGGGGCCAGTTTCCGAAATTGTGGAGGACGGGGAAACTGGTCCTCATCCGAAAGGAGGGGCGCCCGGCGGACTCACCGTCCGCCTACCGGCCCATAGTGTTGCTTGACGAGGTGTGCAAGCTCTTTGAAAGAGTGATTGCAAGGCGCCTCGTCAAGCATCTCGTGATGGTTGGGCCGGATCTGGCGGACAACCAGTACGGTTTCCGTCAGGGGCGCTCCACCGTGGATGCGATCATGCGCGTGAAGGCTCTGGCGGAGGAAGCAGTCTCCCGGGGCGAAGTGGTGTTGGCGGTGTCCTTCAACACTATGCCCTGGAGCTGCATCAGGGAGGCGCTCGTGTATCACGAAGTGCCTCTCTACCTCCGCCGCATAGTCGGGGCATATTTTCGGAGAGAGCCGTCGTCTACCCCAGTAGGACCGGTCTCGGTAGGCGTGAAATGTCGTGCGGTGTTCCGCAGGGGTCGGTGTTAGGGCCACTCTTGTGGAACATCGGCTACGACTGGGTGCTTCGTGGTGCCTTCTTGGATGGTGTCGCCGTCGTGTGCTACGCGGACGACACACTTGTGACGGCGCGCGGCAAGACGCACCACGAGGCAACCCTGAAGGCCACGGCCGGGGTTGCCCAAGTCGTTGAGCGTATCCGGCGGCTGGGTCTCGAGGTGGCTCTGCACAAGTCCGAGGCCCTGTTCTTCCACGGGCTTCGGAGGAAGCCGCCTGAGGGATCTAGCCTCACGGTAGGAGGCACTCGCATCGGCATCGAGCCCTCGATCAGGTATCTGGGGCTCGTACTCGATGGCCGATGGGACTTCGGATATCATTTCCGAGGTCTGGTCCCCAAGTTGGTTGGGGCAGCGCGTGCGTTGGCGCGGCTGCTGCCCAACATGAAGGGACCCGATGACTCCTGCAGGAGACTCTACTCGGGGGTTGTGCGGTCCATGGCCCTTTACGGGTGTCCAGTATGGGCGGGGCCCTGAAGGCCAGCAACGTCGCGATACTGCGACGACCGCAGCGAATGCTGGCCATCAGGATCATAAGGGGGTACCGCACGATCTCCTTTGAGGCGGCGAGTCTCCTGGCCGGAACTCCACCGTGGGACCTGGAGGCGAGAGCCCTTGCGGCTCTGTATCAGTGGCGCAAGGAGGCGCAGGAGTTGGGTCGATCCCCCGAGATTCGAGAAATCGATGACCGGAAATCCCAACTCCGCCAGGTCATCATAGGGGAGTGGAGGGAACGACTCGGGCAACCGAGCGCCGGGCACGCCGTCATTGCGGCGGTAAGACCCGTTATGGAGGATTGGCTCGAGAGGCGTCACGGGACCCTCTCATACCGATTGACGCAGGTGATCACTGGGAAGGGATGTTTCGGAGATCACCTGTGTCTGATCCGCAAGGAGCCAACGCCTGAGTGCCACCACTGCGATGGCCAGACCGTGGACACGGCTCTCCACACGCTGGCAGAGTGCCCGGCGTGGGTTGAGCAGAGGCGAGACCTCGTGGCGGCCATCGGAGTGGGAGTTCTCTCGCTCGATAGCCTGATTGCGGCTATCGTGCGGAGCGAGAGTGCGTGGAACTCTGCCGTCTCCTTCTGCGAGCAAGTTATGCTCGCGAAGGAGACGGCGGAGCGGGACCGGGAGAGGTTTAGAACTCTCCCGGCCCGCCAGGCCCGGGCACGGGCCAGGCAGCGCAGGCGACTCAGGCGCCGGAGGTCGCAGAACGACCTCCGTCCTCCATAAGCGCAGGCCTGGGGGTGACAGGTGAGGCCATCTGTCACCCTAGCAGAAGCAGGCCGGGGTGGCGGCTTCGCAGCGCGCTCGCTTCCAGGGAGCACAGGGAACATGGGGTTCCCACACGGGGGGGGGGTCGTCTACTCGTCTGTAGATGACCCGAGGTATGTCGGGGCACCAGGGACTTACTTTCTAGGGTATACCTGGTTCCCCGGCTATTAGTACCCGGCGAAGGCGTGCGGTTTTAGTCGGTTCGTGTCCGACATGCCATCGACAGGTGGTATCCGAGGGGATTTCCGCACGGAAAAAAAAAAAAAAAAAAAAGTACCTATAGTGTAGGCTTGTAATGTTGGTCGTTGATTTTGACTAAAGCGGTTACATTAAGTTACACGATGGCTGGGGCCCTATGGTTATTTCTTCACAAGGCCTACCCAGACCCTATACTGTACTCAGAAATAAACATCACGTATACTCGTATTCTTTATTTTGTGTTGTCGTATAATTATATTCATTATTTTTTAAATACTCAGCTGTACATCAGACATTAAATAGAATTGAGATCTTTTGAAATTGTAATTGATCTTAAACATGTTTTTTTTTTTTTGTATTTTATGTACCTCTCGAGTAGTTTCAGGTAAGATTAAAAGCGTACTTACTATAAATTTAATTTCACCTAGTTTTTACTTCATAGCTACACATTTTCATGTTTCTATCTATTTTTAATTTTTTGTATTTTAAGTCAATTTAAGTAAGCAGTTAAAGTCAAATCATTTTAACGGGCCTGTTGGTCTAGTGGTTAGTGTCCCTGACTGCTGAGCCGGAGGTCGTGGGTTTGATTTCCACCCAGGACAGATATTGTGTGATGAGCACGGTCATGTGTTTTATGAACTGTGTTACTGCTGTAGATGATTGACATAGGATAATTCTCCTTGACAATGGTAGCGCGGAAATGAATTGAAATGAATGATGAAAATGAAGCAAACTCAAAAAATCTTTTGCAATATTAATAGAACTAAGTATCTATATTAATATAATTATCTAAAAGACAGTCTTCTAGATACTAATGCTGAGCTTTAAAATGCCTTCAGATTTTTGTTATCAAATTTCACACACCTCAAACGGCAGCCTGATCCTAAACTAAGCAGGGCCTGTACTATGCTGATCAGACTGCTGATAAACGTACTTAAATATGTCTAAATACATGCTTATTATAGACAAATTACACCCAGACACAGAACAAACGATCGTGGTAACAATTATTTGTCCTGGGTGGAAATCGTACCCACGACCTCCGGCATCAGTCAAGGTAACTAACCACTAGATCTTAGCAGTCATAACTTTCGTCGCATGCTTTATAAACTTTATAAAATTATGTAGGTACTTACCAGCCGAGGGACATTCGACAACGGTTAAATAGGCACACACGGCAAATGAAATACCTAGTCAGATTTACATCTGTGTGTTATTCCAGTAATACTATTATACCTTTGCTTGTTCAATTGTAAATATCTCGTTTCTTTACTTATTCATTTTTAAATTATTATTAGTGCTTCATAACCTCCCTGCGTTATTACTTTAATCTTATCTAGTAAAAAGTTCATTAAAATTATAGGTAGGTACTTCGTACCAGGTTTATCCGTGTGACAGCCATGCTTCGGCTCAAATGGGCGAGCTAAGAATAATGTCGAAATAACCTTCATCGACTAACTTTTCGCTAAAAACATCCTTCGTAAGAAGTCGGTTCTACAAATTATAGTTCACCGATAAACGATCCGTCAAAAACACCTTTCCTTGAATGAAACAATCGTTGTAGGTTCGACTACGACATTTTCATCCAGGGTCGTTACATGTGTCCATGAGAGGCGGTTGTCACTTAACATCAAGTGACTTATTTGCTATGCCAAAAAAACAGTATTTCGTTTGCCGTGTGTACCTATTATTACGCATTATGTGGCATTGGAAATATTTCAATAATAAAAAACTTATATTTGCTAAGACAAATGGAGATGGTGGTAGTTGCAAAGAAAAAATATCAAAAGGCCCATTAACATTGGAGTTGGAGATCTAAACATGTTTTTAAAGGCAAATAATCAGGAACTAAAACTTTAGTTTAAAATGTAAATGTATTTAACAAATGAGTAGATGAAGGTAAGCTAAAGGATTTAATGCCGGCCGATTGAGGAATTAGATTAGAGGGTCAAAAATTGTACATTTATGTGTGGTATTGTGTGGTAGCCCTATTTATGAGCTGTCTGTACACAATAAGGTTGTGCCACATATGTTTTAATTACATTTATTGAAAACATATTGAATCATGTCTATGGGAAAGTTTTTTAAATATAAAGAAAAAGATTTGAAATAATAAAAGTTTTTATTCCTACTCCACTATGACTGCATACAAAATTAGTGCTTTCATCTTGTTTTGTACCTAAAAAATAATACAATAATGTTTAAGAGTCAAATACATAATAACATTTAAAAGGCAAAATTTCATCAGTACATTCATAAATTTAATAATTTTAAATATCAATGGATATGTCAGTAAACATAAAATTAATTATTGCAGTACAAATCTGTAGAATATATGTTCATAATCACAGACTTGTACCATTCATTGTAAAAATTCATACAGGCACACTATACACAATAACAAAAAGTAGTACTTCTAGTATTCCTTAATACTATACAACGAAGATGGAGATCCACACTGAAATTTCCAGAATTTCCATTAGGATCTTATTTAATAAAACTTTTTTGAACCACTCAATGCACAGCCAGTGACATTCTTATTTTCCTATTAGTCTATTCAAGCTTATTGTAAAAAGAATATTGCTTGTTAAATAAATTATTGGGAACATCAGTGCACCAAATCTTAACTTTGTCAAGAATTAAATTCATACATCTCTGCATCAAAGTACATTTAATGCTTCAACAAGTTAGAAGCAGTGATGCATGTACTAGCTATATTTAAGTATAAAAACTGCACTACTTATTGTATATTGTCCACAGTGGGCCTGCTCCAGAAAGTTAAGGCTCACATGTTCTGTGGGGCTGGACTGGCCGGTGTGGGCTGAGCTTCCAAATTCTTAATGAGCTGAGCCAACCAGTGTTTAGTTGAATTATCTTCCTGAAGACATGCAGCAAATGTAGAATCTCTCAACTGGTCTGGTAGACCACTGCCTTAATGCCTCTCTAGCTCTTGGATTGTCCGATAGACGCAAATAGCACCTGACAACATGCTTTAACAACCGAGCAGATGGATCTTTAGCAAGAGACAAAACCATTTTTCCTAATATCATAGCCACATGAGAAAACCTGTCATATGTTTGGCAAATATAACAAAGTCCACTATCATCTAGCAATATCTTTTGTAAAATGAAGGTGGCAACAGTCTTGGAGAGTTCAGATCCGTTTTCCCATAATACGCAAACACAATGGTATTATTTCAGTGGTAAGCAGAAAAGTAATTACTTCCTGCTCATCAGTTTTAACTAGGGCTCCAATCACTCCAAGGCTAGTAAGGCGTAAATATTCGAAAGGGCGTGTTTTTGGATACCGTGTGGAGGAATTGGATAAAGGAATAACGGAACGTGTGCTTGTAGGAAGGCCGAACGCGTCTCAGGGTGCGACCGCAACGCATTGCTATGAGCGCCAAGGCATTACAGACCCTGTTGCTTTGGTGAGCCGTGAGAGTTGGCGGAATCATAGCCACGTAGATATTGGTGATTTCTTGCAGAAGCGCAGCAATGGTACCAAAACTGTGCCACAACATAGGGGCTAAATCTGGTACATTCTCACGTTTTTTGCTAAGCTCCAGTAAGGCATTTTCTCTAGTCTCAGGGTTACAAAGCTCCAGGATCCATGTAAAATCTTTTCTCTGTCCACGGACTGCATGTTCGCCGGGCTCTGCTGGGCACTCATGTTAATCATTGATCTTGTTTTAAAGCTCTGGCACTGGCTTCTTACAATACACGTAGGCTACGTATGGGGTTAAATACATGGTATTCTGCTTGAAACGCTAATGTGTCCACCGAACCATGTGTTACTTTATGGCTTAATTGTTTAGAAATATTTTTTTGAAACTTAGTTACGAACAACGAAACCCCACCGCCTGAAAACAATTTCTCGAAAGCGTCGGATGAACGACGACATTGACGTGAAATTTGACAGTCAAAGAAATTATCATAGATAATAAATAGTAGAGTTGTGTTTATTTTAAGACAATCTAATAAGAAGTTGAGTTCGTGCTAACAGGCAATAGAGACAAAAATTTTTATTAAAATTAAATCAAATGAATTAATTCATGGAATTGCAATAAAGGGGAAAATTGCAATTAAGAGAAATAAATAAAGCGAAATTACAGTCATGGGTCTTCATTTTAAATTTTTAAAAATTATGTTTCACTTAAAATGTAACATAAAGCATTCCATCCTCATTTCACTCTTTGAAAAGACGATAGATTTTTTGTATCGATGGCAACGCGCGATGCGACGGTGTAATAGTTTACAAGTTAAAGATCTCAATCACAATCATTAAATTTAAATGTCCGAATCTAATCTAGTCAGTAATCCACAGTTGTGATATTTATTTACATTTGTGTAGATATGAAAAACCATAATTAATTTTATATTATATTACTCGTACATTAAAATTATTCATTTTAAATCATTCACACACATTCAAAAAAATCATTTATTTGGCGTACGAAAATTGTCACTCACGGATTTTAACTGTAAATTATGACAAAAATATTACCAAATGGTTACACAGTTTACTATATTCATCATCATCATCAATCAATCATCAACGGCCTTTAATAGTCCATTGCTGGATATAGGACCGGGTACGTTCCAGCCTGCAGATATTAATATGTTTAAAATAATGAAAATCTCATTTTATGATCTCAATTAGCCCTTTCGACCTTTGAAATTTTAATATCTGCAGGCTGGAACGTGCCCGGTGGATATAGACCTCACCTAAGAAAGGAGGGTTTTGGCCCCACTACACCACGCTGGCCAGACGGGTTTTGGGATAGGGTTTTTTGTCAAGTTTTCCTTCTCTCTGCAGTGCTGGTGTCCTGCGTTTGTTTTGCAACCCTTATCGGCTCTTACGACCCCACGGGTGAATTGGGGTGTGATATTTTCCCTATTCTTAATCCGTCACTTCACGGACATATTAATATTCATGGGTCCCTATTATTATCCCTATTATTTTTTCGTTGGTTTGTAGAAGATTTTTTTTTTTTATCTTCTTACTGGTTACGTACTCTAATAAGTTATTTATTGCATGCCAGGCCGGTGACCCTGTACTGATACTCATGCTCCCCCATTAATATTCATGTTGTCCTAAATTTTTAAAATTTTTTCTTATTAATTACCTACCTAACACTTACTTACCAATATTAGTTTTTAGTTTAATTTGAATAAACAAAAATAAAATTAACAGGTAATACAATTACAATGTAATTTGAATTTTACATTCATTTTAGAGTAATAAACCGATGTTGACGTTTAGATGCCGATTATTCGCATTAGACATGCGACAAAATCACAGTGAACCTACGTATGAAAAATCGATTGATAAATCACCCGGTCTTTCACAGTTCACTGTGTTTTTTGCCCCATGCCTATTCAGCATGCCTATTTTGACAATCTACTTTTTGTTGTTGGCTGTTATGTTTATACTTCATTCAGTCAGTCAGTCCTCAGTCGTCCACCCAAATGTAAAGTAGGTACAGTGGCACAGTGCGAATAAGGATTGTGATATTTATGTTTGTAATGTTTGGGATTTTTACCATAACATTTTAGGGGTCATGCAAAAGTTACAATATTAAGATTCATTGTTTTTTTGATGCTTTACAGCTCAAGTACTACCATAATTATATTATGTGAAAGCGTGTTTGGGAAAACTAGAAAACACTTTCGTTGGTTTGTAGTAGATTTTTTTTTCTTATCCTCTTATTAGTACATTACTCTAATAAGTTATTTATTGCATGCCAGACCGGTGACCCTGTACTAATTCTACATTAATATAATTTCTCCGGTTGATTCATCGTAAGTTGACGCCATTGCCGTGTTTTAATTAGCTGTTATAAACAAACTACGGTTTTGAGTCTTGATACTAGACTGTCGTAGTTAACTATTTTATTCCCTTTCTGAACCGAGCTATGGTTCGACATGATCTATATATTTTTTTCCATAACAGAACCGTTCCACTATGAACGTTATATCAGTTATGAGTAATGTGTTAAATCAGTAAAAATTTTAAAGTAAATTTAGGAGCTGTTACTCATTTTGTTTGATACAGTAAACAATTTTTCTAGAAATATCTTTAATTTATATCAAATGATTTACCTGTAATATGGTGTTGTGGTTTAAAATGATAGCAAATATGTAACTTTACAATATGAAAAGTTTAAAAAATGATTTCATACTAAGCCTGCCCTTCGTTTGTGTTAATGTCTGTTCCCGATAAACAGTAGCCCTTTTCCAGACTATATTCTAGCTCTGTAAAATATTCATTAATTTATGTTCAGAAAAAGATCATTCATCCATCCCTTCCATACTTTCAGAATTAAAATATTAGTATAGAATTGAACTTGAACATGGAATTTGAAAAGCGCTGCCTTAGTGGGGTAGTACCATAAGCGACTGCAGTAATTGAGAATTTGGGTTTTGACTCCCCGACCATTAAAAAAATTATAGGGTATTTCTGAGAAAAAATAGTTACTCCTTATATAGACAGCTACCTGTAAGTAAAATATTATCAAAATCCAGCTGTTTTGAAGTTTACTCGGAACAAACAGACAGATAGAAAAGAGATATTTAAACTGGTTTTTCAGCATAAGTACAAGCAATAACTGTTTAAGCATGAAAAAAAACCCTATGATTCTGAGATTACAAAAAGACACTTCAATTTTATTTATTATAGTCCATCCAGGTACCGTTTGACAGTTCTGACAGATTGGGTTTTAGCGATGGGGTCAAAGAAATTGATTAATAACAATCTGATTCTTAAGAGATTTTAATATCATTTCTTAGTATGTACTAAAAGATTACTTTTTTCAGATTTATGTATGTTACTATAAAAGAGTGTGTAATGGCACATCATAGGTTTGACTAGTACATCTTTTAGACTTGGACATGAGCGATTTTTGCTTACTAAGATTTATTTAAAATTACATTAACTTACATACTTTTAATTTTAATTATGCGTTTTCATTGAGATTTGGATGAACCAGTCTTATGTATTTTATGTATTATCAAATACTAAGATGCCTGGACTGAAAATGACTCGTTATTATAAATTCGATTTTTCGTACATTTCAACGGTTATTCGTATTTAAGTGAATTTGAAGAGCCGCAACACTACGGTAAAGGATCTAACCAAAGTCACATACTTTGAAATGAAGTTTGAAAAAAGAAAACATTGTGTATTTATAAATTGGTGATTTTGCTTTGTTTCAAAGATTTAAATTTTTATTTAGTCATTAAGAATTGTATATCTTGGGACAAAATAAAAATACCTACATAACTCCATGGTTTTATAGATAAGCTTACTGAAATTGTGAGTTACGCCAATACAAAGTTATTTCGTCTTGAAAGTATGAAACGTCAAACAGTACCTCTTAGATTAGATGGACTATAGTATAGATACACATATCAACAAAGAAACAGGTTTTATGACAATAGAGGAAGTGTAACGGTGCATTTCGCGCCATTACAGTAATTTGAACCTTTGTCTCGTTTTTGTTTTGTTAGATTGAATTTTTTGTCGTTTCTGCGAGTGCCGATGGTCGAGGGACGGACGAGAGTAATAATCGATGTTGTTCGCCCGCGATTAGTTAGTCGATTTAGTTTTTCTTGTTCTGGCAACATTTTTGTTTCCCGCTCTATGAAGCGAGAGGCTATTGCACTGGTATCACTTTGACTTTCACTTTTGGACCGGCCGCCGAGAGAAATGACGCAAAACCGTTTTGTCATTTAATTTTTTAGAAATCCGTATTTATTTGATATGGACGAGGGCCTATTTTCCTCTTTAAATGCTTGGCCAACCTAGTTAAGACTCGAGCTAGTGGATCGAGTGATTATTTTTGATAAAAAAGGTGAGTTTGTTCGGCCACGTGCTTCATGCTTGGCTTGGCGGAATTTGTGGTTTTAACTCTTTGTTTTAATTGGTTACAGGCAATGCTTATAATGCTTATAATGCCGCTGCTTGATTTGTGAAGCATTTTAGAACCCTGGTAAGTGAAATATGATTTCTTGTCAGAGTTATGGTTCATCTTGTGAGATAGGCTTTTAACCTATAATTTTTCCTTATTTGCAGATGAATCAGGGTTCTTTCTTTTTTAGCTTATATCTAAAGCCTTTACTATTACCTAAATTATTTTACTTTCTTATTGGATTTGTCCTTTCGTGGCATTCGATGTTTGTCCCCCTCCGGGCCGGGGG